GCGCCTGCGTGCGGGCGGACCCTCACAGATCACAGATCACATACTAGTTTTCAAGCATCAAGGTGCTCTCCAAGTTAGGCACAAAAGATACCGGCCATTTAGGATTCCTAGACGATCACTGAGTAGGCCAAAATCCCGACTGGGCCGGGAGCAACCTCAAAACGGCCAGCGCGCGGACCCCCACAGCAACAAGAAAAATGCTTACGACGGACGTCTGCTGAAGCAGGCTCGCGGTATCCCGATGGGGAGTGCGCTCTCGCCACCGCTGGCGATAGGAACTCTCGCATGGATGGAGCAGGAATGGATGCATACGCTTGAAGATGATGTCAAAGCCCGATTCCGTATGAAACGATACATGGACGATGTGATTACGATAACTACAAAGGACGATAGTGTGTGGGATGTCGACCGCTTTCGGGAGGACTTCCGCCGTTCTGAATGCTACTGGGCTCCTTTGAAGCTAGAGGCAGCAGAGAGCGCCCATTTCTTGGAAACGACTCTCGAGCTCGACCCAAGCGGAAGCTTCCGGACGAGACTCAAGAACGTGAACGAGGAGTGCGAGGCGGTACCCCGGGTGTGGCGCTACCATCGTTGGGATAGCTTCACATGCGCGAAAATGAAGGAGGGAATCGTTGTTGGATGCCTGCTCAAGGTTGTCGCAATGGCGAGCGATGACGAGGGATTCACGCTCAGCGTGACGAGCAAGCTCAGGGAGTTTACGGCGCTCGGATACCCCTCACACGTGCTTAATGGGGCTATCGGGCGCGCGTTTGCCCGGACAAGAGACGAGCGGCTCCTTCGGGCCAGACTATGTTCACAACGGTGGGAGGCCAACCTCTAGCCATGTGAACCAAAAAGAAAAAATGTATTCTCAAAGCCAGTCAGAGCACCGTCCAAAGGCGGGTGCTGTCGACTAAGGGACAATCTTGTCTGTCGACAGCCGAACTTGTGATGGGACACCCTCGGAATCCAACTGCGTACTACTTGGCTAGCACGCTATTGGCATACCGACGGCTAAGGCCGAAATCGGTTCACACCTGCTCTTGCAGGTGTGAACACAAAGGATTCGCTGTATCTACTCAGCTGCTCCGCTTACACTTGCCTGTGAAGTGTGAACAGCGGATTTTGAATCAGCGTTCTCCTCGAACGATATCGGTGTCGAAACACCGCTCTGACAGCGCTCACAGCTGCCCGCCCGCCGCATTCTCGTGCAACGCTTCGCCAGCCTTATTGCGGATGGGCGCCTGCGGCTCGAGGCCGTTCTCCAAGCGAAGGCAGGGGCGCAAGGCACGTGCAGCAGCGGAGAAAGAGGCCGCCGACCAGGCGACCACTGCTGCTGCAGTGGCCGCTGCGGCTGCGGCGGAGACTGCCACGGTGGCAGAGGCGGCGGCGCTGGCGGCCGCGGCGGCAGAGAAGGAGGCGGCTGCCATGCCGAGGTCGAACACGGTCGGCGAGATCTCCACCGACGACCTTGGCGAATGGTCTCCAAACTCCTCTCTTGGAGCCGGCTCTGTCTCTTGCCTCACACCGGCAGCGGCCAGGCTGCGCGTGCGGCTGGTCAGCGGCTTGCGGCGGGCGAGCCTTCCGAACGGCGCCACCCTCTCAGTAAACAGGGGCGCGTGTGGGGCGGCCGACCTCTTGGAGGAGTACCTCTCCCTCGGAGGCGATGCGGGACGCTACGAACTGGTCACGCAGAACCAGCGCGCCCGCTTCGAAGCCGGCGAGGTGTACACGCACGTCGGCCCGCTACTCCTCGCGATCAACCCCTTTCGCCCCCTTCCGGGCCTTTACGACGCGGCGGCGATGCGGCAGCACGCCGACCCGTCCCGCCCATCGGAGGTGCCTCACGTGTACGCCGTGGCGCGAGAGGCGTGTGGAGCGCTGCTGGGCGGGCTGGGCAGCGAGAAGGGCAGCCACTCGATCGTGGTCTCTGGCTGCTCGGGCAGCGGCAAGACGGAGACGGCGAAGCACGCGCTCACATTCATCGTCTCCTTGTCGCTGGGCGGAGGTGGAGGCGGAGGAGAGGGCGATGTCGAGGCGGTGGGAGCGAGGCTGCTCGCCGCGACTCCTCTGCTGGAGGCGCTCGGCAACGCATCCACCGCCCGGAACTGGAACTCGTCCCGCTTTGGCAAGGGCGTCCTCCTCTCGCGGAATCTTTGCGGCGACGCGGCCGCGGGGCGGGGCGAGGGCGGGCTGCGCGCCAGCATCCGCACCTACCTGCTCGAGACATCTCGCGTGGTTGGCGGGGCGGAGGGCGAGCGCTGCTTCCACGTGTTCTACCAGCTGCT